ATAGCTCTGACACGGCCCTGCAGCACCCTGCCCCGTATCGCAACACGGAGGGGTCGATCACAACCGACCGATGAACCGCAGCTCATCATAATGTTTGATCGCAACCAAACAGTGGACCGCAGCCCAAGAGTAGTCATCTGACCGCAGCCAGGAATATGAATCGCAGCTCATGTAAAACGTTTGATCGCAACCAAACGGTGGACCGCAGCCCGAGAGTGTAAATCTGACCACAGCCAGCTTCTGAACCGCAGCTCAGGAATAACCAATTTGATCGCAACCAAATTGGGGTATCATGCACACGTAACACATAACAGGTACATGCAACCCACATTGACACATTGGGAAAGGGGAGAAATCGTAAAATGAAACTTATGCGTGATCATTCACATACTAGGAATAATCCTAAGGGGTTCATACTTCTTTCACCTAGGTCAACGAGATACCAATTCAACTAGCATGCAATATATAAGACTCGTTTATCCTACGAACGGTACCCGAAACATCAAACCAGACATATGCACGATAGACGGAGTCCGTTGGGACACCACGGGGGTCGGGAGAACATCAAACGGGGAAGCCGGGATCTCGAGGTGGGAAATCTCCAGCGGGTAGCCGGTGGGTGAAGGGTCACCCGCCGACGAAAAGTCTCCGGGCAGCGGGTGCCCGGCGGGCAGTCGCCTGCCCGCTGCCGGCGACGTCAATTCTGGTCGCGGGTAGGTGGCGGGTCCCCTACCCCCACCTACCCCCCATTGACTCTCTTTCACAATAAACGCCCCGGGATCCATTGTGGAACCCGAAACCATGCTTAGACACTTTTAAACGCAATCGATGACACCACGTAGACAATTAACGGATCAAAAGCAAGAAACGTACGGCACGTACCCTATCATGCTTTCTAAATACAATTAACGCCCAAACATGCGAATTCCCACCCAATATATCAAGAATAACACCACACGAGTTTCACGATACATCCTAGGGCTCTAATTATATTTAAATCATCAAGAACGTAATTCATCCTTTAACATCAAGAACCAATACAATTCATCAAGAATATCACATAATTATCAAGAATCCGAATTCCTCAAGAATATCACACAATTATCAAGAAACCCTTATCATCATCAAGATTATCAAGATAAAACCATATCACCAATTATCAAGATCACATCATCAATATCATAAACAATTCATCAAGACACAAGAATATAGGGGGATGCCTAAGATGGAGATCATAGCTAAGAAAATAGGTTTTGTTGAGACATGGGTTACCTCTTAGCCTTAATTAATTTCTTGGCTATGAAGGGTCTTTCCTTAAGCTTTCTTCTTTCTTGATTTCTCCTAAGGGAATTCTTGGAACTTCTTGTGTGGTGAGAGATTATTGTGGTGGGGGTTCTAGGTGCCTCTTATGTCCCCTATTTATATACCTAGGAGTCCTAATTAGGATCTAAATACTATGGGCTTGCTAATTCTATTCCTTTTAGGGCTAGGGGTTGGCTTTTAGAGGTGAGGGCCCACGGACTATGGTGGGCCTTTTCCAAATTAATTATTGTAATTTAATTCTTTCTTTGGATAATTGGTTAAATGATTAATTGGTTTTAGGGGTCGTAACACGGGGTGTTACAGGCCTGGTGTATAATTGAATGGGTGCAAACTGGTCCACCCAATCCATCCCCAGCACCATGTCACACCCTTAAAGTCTGAGGAGTCTAAACCCTTTAACAAAACTCTCCTGCTGAATGTGCCACTGCAATTCAGAGCACATAGAGTCGCTGGTTATCTGATCTCCATTAGCAACAGTTACTGTCAAGGGGGTACATTTCTGTGGTTTTCTTCTTAATTGGCTTAGGATCTTGGGATCCAAAAAGCTATGGGTGCTACCACTGTCTACCAAGATGACAATGGGTTGTTTCTGCACCATTCCCAATAGCTTAATGGTGTTGAGTCCTTCCTCCCATACTACAGCACATAAGGAAACTCCTGCTACTTCTGTCTGTTCATCCTCAGGGTGTTCAATCAGAATGGGAACATCCTCTTCGTCCTGATCCTCAATAATATTGAATGTTGGCCCCTTGCACTTATGCCCAGGCTACCATGGATCAAAGCATCTAAAGCATCTTTTATGCTCCCTAAGTTGATTTCTGAACTGGGTTATTTTAGGGGTCTTCGCAGCAGTGGTTTGGGTAGAGGTTGTAGGCTTGGGGATAGGGATATTTGGTAGAGGGCTATTTGAGCTAGAGCTGGTTGTTTTAGTGGGCTGGGTGTTTCTGGTATTCCAGGCAGAGTTTCTGGGAGTATCAACAGGTTTAAAGCCCCTTTCATATTGCCTAGCAAACCAAATAGCATCAGCCAAATCTCTAGGTCTTGCAGTCCTTACAAAACACCTAAGATTCAGCCTCTGCCTAGCTATGTAGTTTTCCATGAAATATGTTTCAGTAAGGCAAGGGTGAATTTGTAACAGCAGGCTCTTAAATTCCTCAAACTCATCAGTAAAGTCATCCACATTCCCCCATTGTTTGAAGGCAGCAAAGTCCTCAATCACAGAGACCTTGCTGTCCCCAAACCTTCTACATATAGCCTCAACAAATCTAGGCCAGTGAAATTTCTCCCTCAAACCATGAATGTAACTATCATACCATAACCCCACCTTCCCAGTTAAGTGCACATATAAGAGGTTAGGTACTTCATTTCTGGGAATATGGGCAAGGATAAAAAAATTTTTCACACCTAATCACCCACTGCCTAGTATGAGCATAATCAAAAGTGGGAAATTCACTTTTATACCTCATGAGGAAGTCTTGTTGTGGTACTACTGGCCCCATTCTGCCCTCAGCTCCTGGCCTCCTTCGTGGAGCCCAATCCAGGTTGGCTCTATCTGTTGGACCAACTGCCAATGGTGACCCCAGGCCAGGCTCATTCTCATCCTCCTCCAATTCCTGCATTGGTGCCTTATCAGGCCTGCCTACCGGTTACGCACCTTCCTGAACTTGGCATTGGACAGATGATTGCCCTGGGGTGGTAGGAAGGATAGGGGCGGCTGGTCTATTCAACCGAATTAGCTAGATAATCTCCTCCTTCAGGCTCCCAAACTGGTTAGCTAGATTACCAAGTTGTGCAGTTAACGAAGTCACCTGGGTGCTGAGCTCAGTCACTGAGTCCTGGGTAGCTTTAGCTCTATTGTCGATTTTGCTGTTTAGTTCAACCACTGTGGCCTCAAGCCTGCGAAAATGGTCCTCCATGGGCTCTGATACCAATTCGTATGCCCTTCAAAGTATGGATCAGATTTGGGGTGAAAGAGAATGGGGAAGAAATTAGAGTTGAGAGAATTTAAGAGAAGAGAGAAAGTGTTTATTATTCAGCATAAAAGCTTATCCAACCTTGGCTACAATTTAAAGCAGAAAATCCAACAAAATAGCAACAATCTATTCCTATATTCCCGGATCCACCCGTTGAGCCTGTTGAAAGGGATGAATGAAACGACGTCGTCGTAAGATGGGATAACCGCTGTTAACGGATACACGGAATGACGTCGTTCTATTTAATTTTAACGACTCCAACGGCTAGTCCAAAAACGACGTCGTCTGAGGCTTGTTTAATTGATTCCGGTTAGGCTCTTCTTACGACGTCGTTTACCCTCTTCTTCCACACTCCTTAGCCAATTCCTTCTTTCTTCTTTCCACCCTTCCTCCCTCTTTCCATACTATTAGCTTCACCATCCAGGTTCGTTGCAGAGTTGTAGGAGATTGTAGTTCGGGTTGGAGTTGAGAGAACGAGGAAGCCCGCATTTGGGTTGGCAGTGATGAGTTGTGGAGTTGCCCCTTTTGGAAGATTGGAGAAGGTTACGACTTGCAACTCAAACCCTAATTTCATATCCTTTATGACTTAATTTTTTTAATTTCTTTGAGTGTTGACTGAACCATTGACTTTGCTTCTTGTGAGAACGTCTTGCTTTGTTATACCTTGTCGTTTCGTCGCTCTATCTAATAGTTGTCGCTTTCTCACAAGTTTTTAACAACTTTGTTATAATACGTGACATTCTCATTACACATAAGCATCATGGCTTCATCAAGTGTTAATTTAGTTAGCACTTGTAAAATTATAGCCTAATTATACTATTTTGCTCATGTATGCTAATTCATTAGAGTTGTTTTTTGCACTATTTTTTATACTTAAAAATTAATTTGATACTTATTTCATTTTTAAGTACTAAAATTAGTAGATAAATTGTTCATTAGTTTTTACTCCAATTTTGATTTCACTGATGTTTAGTTTGATACGTTAGACCTAGACTTGTGGTGAGCAATATAGCTATTGAAAACGTATTGTATTACTTTTGGCAACCTAGGTAGATAAATTGATGGGTGCATTTTTGGAAAAAATAAAAAAATAAAATTCTTGGTATTACTCCAAAAGATTGAATTATTGGATACTAGTTAGCAATACTATTCTTGGTAACCCATAAGTCCATAAGAGCATTCCCTTAAGAAGAAAAAGATGAGTTTTGGTAAAGTTTTGTTCTAGGTGGAGGAGAGAGGCGAGGGGTACGAGCCGGAAAGGGTTACTAGGCTATTATGAGTTTTTGGTCCAAGTTTTCTGAAAAAGGTTTTAAAAATAAAAATTAAAAACAACTATGTTGGTGCGTGCCTGCTAGGAGCATTAGGTGACCTTTTATTTATTTATTTATTTATTTATTTTTACCTTTCTCTCTTCCACGACAAAAAACTCTAAAAAAAAAAAAATCTTGCTCAAATAAGTAAGTGCACTTATACTTTATACTAAATGATGGGGTCTTGGGGACCCGCACCCATTTTATTGGAAAAGTCTTAGCCCAAATGGGTGGTAAAAAAGGAAGGTTGGTGTAACACACCTAAATTTTAAAACTTTAAAAGCTTATGAAATAAAGGCAATTCTATTATCAAATCCCAAACAGAGCATGAAACTAAACATAATTGTCGGGGTGCTATGCCACATTTGAGTTGGAGAACTCAGATGCACAGGCTAAACTATCCAAACATAAGAAATCATCAAACAATATCTAGTACAACTTCAAGGCACGCAGACCGATAATAGAGCTAATCTAGCTAGGTTCACGGGTCCGACTAGCGCGCTCCGGAGCTATTCATCTGTGCCTGAAAGCCAAATATATCTGTTCAGCGAATAATGCTGGTAACCCACTCCAACGCGTTAAGTACAATATAGGTAGATATATAAGGAAAATCATTTTGAAGTCGGAATACATATGTACTTATGAAACTCTAATTTAAAACCGAGAATAAACTCAATCAAGCAATAGCAGTCACATTCAATATAATTAATCACACACATAAAGATTCCAGTACGCAACCTAAGGTCACAAGACTATCCAATATCAATTGTATCAATATCCAATTACTATCTCAGTCACAATCAACAATAAGACACGTATGCACATATGGTGGTGCCGCAGGACCATTCACATGACCCGAAGCTTGAGTTCCATTGCCAAGGGGTCAGTGCATATAGCCCTGACATGGCCCTGCATCACTTTAAGCCGATGGTTCTCAACCCATCCAACTGCCTGTATAGCCGATCGATCGCAACCGGTCGGGTTAATACCTGATGGTTCTCAACCTATTAGATAGTCATTGTAGCCAATTGATCGCAACCAATTGGGGTATCAAGCACAAATAACATAGAATCCAAGCAACATGCAACCCACATTAACACATAACAAGGGGGAATCCTCGGGGAACACTTATCCTAATATAACTCATACGTGACAAACCACATTAAACCACTCGTGACACTCCTAAGGGATCATGCACCTTCCTCCTAGGCCAACAGGATACCAATTCGACTAGCATGCAATACACAAGACTCTTTTATCCTAAGAACAGTACCCGATACCTCAAACTAGACTCACACACGACAAACGGGGTACAACGGGACACAACGGGACACGGGGAAACATCAAACGGGGAAAAACATCACCCTGCCTCATACCTCAGCATGAAGGGGTTGACCGCTGCCAATCGATGAACCGCAGCTCATCAAAACGTTTGACTGCAGCCAAACGGTAGACCGCAGCCCAGAAGTGAATCTCTGACCGCAGATAGGAATATGAACCGCAGCTCATGCAAAACGTTTGATCGCAACCAAACGGTGGACCGCAGCGCAAAAGTATATTTCTGACCGCAGCCAGCTTTTGAACCGCAGCTCATGTATAACCAATTTGATCGCAGCTAAAATTGGAGGATCATGCACACATAACACATTGGGAAGGGGAGAGAAAACGTATAATGAAACCTATGCGTGGTCATCCACATACTAGGAACAATCCTAAGGTGTTCATACATCTGTCACCTAGGTCAACGGGGTACCAATTCAACTAGCATGCAATACACAAGACTCTTTTATCCTACGAACGGTACCCGAAATATCAAACTAGACTTAGGCACGATAAACAGAGTCCGTTGGAACACCACGAGGGTTGGGGAAACATCAAACGGGGAAACCACCATCCCGAAGTGGGAAAAACCAGCTGGTGGCCGGCAGGTGGAGGACCACCCGCCTGCTGCCCACCGGCGGCGAGAAACCGGGCAGCGGGTGCCCGGCGGGCAGTCGCCTGCCCGCTGCCGGCGAAGCCCAAAATGGGGCAGCGGGTAGGTGGCAGGTTCCCCTACCCCCACCTACCCCCCACTGACTCTTTTCCAATATTTGGGTCCCGGGATCTTTTGTGGAACCCGAAACCATGTTTAGACACTTTTAAATATAAACGACGACACCACGTAGTCAAATAATGGATCAAAACCAAAAATCATATTGAACATATCCTAACATGACTTCTAAACATAAACAACACCCGAACATGCGAGATCCTACCCAAATACATCAAGAACATCACAATACGAAAATTCTCAATTTATCCTAGGGCTCTAATCATATTTAAATCATCAAAATCGTAGTTTATCTTTAAAATCAAGAACATCACACAATTATCAAGATCCTCTTATAATCATCAAGATTATCAAGATCAACACATAAGATCATCTCATCAATCATCAAGATCATATCATAATCATCATAAATGATTTATCAAGACACAAGCATAGAGAATGAGACAAAGAAGAAAATTATAGTTGTAACACCCCGAAATTTTGAAACTTTTAAAACTTATATAATAAAGGAAATTTCTCATAAAATCCCAAACAGAGCATTACTAAATATAAGTGTGCGGGGTGCTATGCCACATCTGAGCTGGAGGACTCAGATGCACAGGCTAAACTATCCAAATATCCTCAATACAATGTCGTGGCACGCAGGCCGAAAGGAGAAAACTATCTATCTAATCCAAGTTCTTCTAGCGCGCTCCGGAAGCTAATCGTCTGTGCCTGAAAGCCAAATATATCTATTCAGCGAGTAATGCTGGTAACCCACTCCAACGCGTTGAAATATAGGTATATATATATATATATATATATAGGAAAACCATTTTGAAGCAGGAAGATATATACTTAGGAGACTCTAGCTTTAAAACCGGGAATAGACTCGACAGGTAGGGACAACATATTAATCAACGATAAACAGTTATATAAAGACAATATCATAAATAACATGTATCTAAGGTCACAGTTCACTTTCAAACCATTCATATCATCATTCAATCATCATCTTATCACACAAGCACACTTTGGTGGCGCCACGGGACCAATCGCATGGCCTGAACATGAGGGTTAGTGCATATCGCACTAACATGGCCCCGCAGCACCCTACCTCATACCGTAGCATGAAGGGGTTGATCCCAACCAACCGTATAGACCGCCGATAGTTCGACGGTGGATCACAAGCCTACACACCGCTGACGCGTTCAGTTGGTGGACTGCGGCCCTACACACCGTTGACGAGCACAGTCGGTGGGTCGTAGCTGATCAAAGCCCTACACACCGCCTGAGGGACTTATTCGGTGGGCGATGATCCTCGGAGACTACGACCCTACACACTGTTGGCCCATCACTCGGTGGATCGCAGCCGACCATAGCCCTACACACCGCCTGATCACTCATTCGGTGGACTATGGCCTTCCTCAGGCTAGTGGCCCTACACATCGCTGGCGCGTCCAGTCGGTGGACCATAGCACACGAGGCCCATGTGGGCTGTAGCCCAAGAAGTGAATCACTGACCGCAGCCAGGAGAATGAACCGCAGCTCATGAGTAACCAATTTGACCGCAGCCAACTTCTGAACCGCAGCTTAGGAATAACCCATTTGATCGCAACCAAATTGGGGTATCATGCTCACATAACACATAGTAACACATATTAGCACATTGGGAAGGGGAATGCGTATAAGTAAACTTATGCGTGGTCATCCACATACTAAGAATAGTTCCTAAGGGGTTCATACATCTTCCTCCTAGGCCAACGGGTTACCGATTCAACTAGAGTGCAATACATAAGACTCTTTAATCCTACGAATGGTACCCGAAACATCAAACTAGACTCAAGCACGACAAACGGAGTCCATTGGGACACCACGGGGGGTTGTGGAACATCAAACGGGGAAGCCAAAGTCCCGAGGTGAGCAACGACCAGCGGGTAGCCGGTGGGTGGAGGGCCACCCGCCGGCGACAAGCTTCCGGGCAACGGGTGCCCGGCGGGCAGTCGGCTGCCCGCTGCCGGCGGTGCTTCTTTGGGCAGCGGGTAGGTGGCGGGTTCCCCTACCCCCACCTATCCCCCACTGACTCTTTATTAAAATAAACGTCCCGGGATCCTCCGTGGGACCCGAAACAATGCTTAGACACTTTTAAACGCAAATAACGACACCACGTAGGCAATTAATAGATCAAAAAGCAAGAATCACATAGAACACATCCTATTATGACTTCTAAACATAAACAACACCCGAACATGCAAATTCCCACCCAAATATATATCACAATACAAATTCCCAATTCAATCTAGGGCTGTAATCCCATCCAAATCATCAAAGTCATATTTTATTTTTAACATCAAGAAACATCAAGATTTATCAAGAATCATCACATAAATATCAAGAACTTCTTTTCAACATCAAGATCATCAAGATCACACATAAAATCATCCCATCAATCATCAAGTTATATCACAATTATCATAAAGGAATTCATCAAGACACAAGCATATAGAAGGAGCCAAAGAAGAAGATTCACTAGTACAGAAACAGTCATTCGAGTCCAAAGTTAAGGCTAATTTGCGTCCAAAGTAGCTTTGGACGCACAAAATGATTATTCGTGTCCAAAGTTGAAGAACTTTGGACGCGAAAAATGATAATTCACGTCCAAAGTTCGTGAACTTTGGATGCGTATGGTGTTCACTTATTTAAAAAAAAAATACTATACGCGTCCAAAGTTTCTGAACTTTGGACGCGTATAGTAAAAAGAAATTTAAAAAAAAAAATTTTTTTTTTTATAAAACTACCAATATTTTCCTGTACATCCCAACATAACTACCAAATAATATATTTCAACATTAATCAATTTAAGATGTATACTACACACCAATTCTATCAACTAAAACACACCAATCTAAAATTTCAATTCATATAACATTTTACTACAAATAAACTACAAATTCTAAATGTTAACAATTAAAATAAATTACTTAAGATGTAATATTGTGATAACCTTTATCAACCACATAAAATATCCTCATGCTCAAAGCAAGAAAAATGTCTTGGGAATCCAAACAATCACAGAACCTCAATACCCAAAATCAATGTAAAACTAAGGCCTAAAAGCTGAAATTCACACAAACAACAAGAAAACAAAGACTTGGGACTACTTTACCTCTTGCAAGACCAAGAATACATTGAAGTCATGCCTCTGCCCCTCAAAACATTAAGCCTCTCAATTACATCTTCAGAGAAAAAACAAATTTTCAGTTCAACACCTTAGAATGAAGTAAATTTTGGTCCAATTTTTAGTGTAAATTGGTGGTTTAAATTTGTGTCGAGTTTTTCTTGTTACTAAAAAAAAATTATAATAAATGAAGAGAGATGTGAGGTGTTTTAAATTTGTGGTTGAACTACTACTCACCCCATTGACAGCCTGATGGCTATGTCTGCAGCATTCTTATGGAAGCAAGAAGGTAAACCAAACTTAACCTGCATTATCACACAAAAAAAGATGAGAGGGTAGTGTTGTTGTAGTTACAACAGTACACCTATATATATATATATATATATATATATATATATATATATATAATATTGTATATTGATGTGAAAAGGACACCCAAAAATCCATTGAAAATTTGACAGTATAGTGCTTACCAACTCCAGAAAAAGAAAGCAACTTGGAATGCATTCTGCAGTGCAGATCAAATCAGATTAGAAACAAATTAGAGGATCTCACAAACTAATCCAAAATTTTCTGCTTATAAACAAGATAATAAGAAGATATACGGAGGTTTAAGGTTAGTTTTTGTTCCCAATCCCAATCCACATGCTAAGGGAGAATCAGCTTTATCAGCTTCAGGGTACCCAGCCAAAAGCTTTATCAGCTTCAGGGTCCTTCTTCATTCATCCATGTAGGAGCTATATTTTTCAAAAGTTCCTAACAAACATATAAAGGCATGTATAGATGCAAATAAGCCGACTGCCCTACAATATTTGCTTAGCAGTTCATTAGTTAAGTAGAAAAGAATTAAATTCAGTTAAAAGAACATGAATACTTTTCACAGAACTCTGTCAAATAAGTAGAACATAACTAATAACCATTTCCAAATCTTGGTTGTTTAGTGAAGCACTGGTACAAGGGAAAAGAGAGCTAGCATGAGAGGAAACTATAGCATTAAAGTTTGAGAAAAAATGAGGGTTGGCTCACCTTTTCTTTGAATCAGCATCTAGAACCTGTAATGTAATGTAATGTAATGCGATAAACAGTACAAACCTCTGAGTACATATAACAAAGAACTTGTCCTATATGCTCAAACTGAACAGGACAGATGTTGAGAATCTAACTCTCTGCAGTGGAGAAAAACAAAATTTCGTATCACATAGCCATGATACATTCTTATAATTGTGCTTTGCTTTCGTGACTCCTACTGTAAAGGTTTAGTTCTGTAATCACCATAAAATCTCAAAATGGTTTATACAACACAGTAAAATCATTGTTGAATCACCAAATAAAAATCCACACAATTAGTAGTTCTAAATGAGCAAAAAATGAGTATTAATTGTCTAAGTGTGGTTAATTGGTTCATACCTGAATGTGGTAAGGGAAAATGAGTATTAATTGTCTCCCATCCGATATTGTAAAGCTCTAGTAAAACTGAAATGTAAAGGAATTGTCACAAGTAGTAATTTCACAAGTCATAAAGTTTGTGAGGTCAACTTGTCAAAAAGCAATTACACTACTCCATATATTATATCAAGTGGGACAAAGAAAAAGACAAAATTTGGAAGCAAGAACAAAAAGTCAGAAATAGTAGCTAAAAGAAATTGAACTAATCACCAGCAACAAAACTAGGAACTTCATACCGGTCCAACAAATTGCTTTTAGGCTAATTCTTCTCCTTCATTATTCATACCCCACTGTTCTTCAGTCCCATTTCCATTAATGAGTACTGCACCATCAACGGAATCAGCATCCACCAGAAGAGTCTCTTCTTGAGCATCACCTTGCACCTCATCCCCATTCTGGTCCGCAACTTGCACAAGAAAGCAAATGAAAAACTAAAACACAGCCCAAAATGAAGATACCCAAGTAGTGTTTAGTGACTAGAATAGAAAAAGTCTCAAACGGGTCAAAAAATTCAGTTACTTTGCAGGATTAAAATGGATGTAGAGAATGAAAAAGGAACAGGGATTACAGGTTACAAGGAAACATCTTTGTATAAAGCCATTCATATAAATGTAAATTGTTGATTTCCATTTTCTCATTTTTCAAAAATATGCATATAATAGTCCATTTTGTAATTGACAATACATACCTCATGATCCAAGTCTCCATTCTGAAGGGGTTGCTCTTCATCCATCCTCATGTTCCTGAAAGCCTCGACGAGGTTGATTGTTGATCTATCAGACTTGATTAACATATTCAGATGCTGGTGGAAGTCTACATCTGCAGAGGAAATGAGAAACTAATGATGACAACCTGATAACCGAGTTAAAAACCAATTTCACATTAGATGAACCTTATTAAGGTCCTTTTTTCAATCTCAACAGCAACATACCTGAGAACAAATTATAATCTTATTCTCAATATAAAAGCACCAAAATAAATAGGAAAGCGCACTTTAGTATAATATATTATTGAGAAATTGATTGTCACTACTATAACTAAGACTAAATCCTGGTTGAATGTTATGTCAAGAGAAACAAAGCATACTCGTGACCATAGAGAGTGTGAGCATATGCGAATCTAGAATTTAGTTGTACAGCTCGCTGGAAATTTCTAAGAGCAGTTTCATGGTCTTAGCAATTTTCTAAAATCAGTTTCTGTACATATAGCAACTAGTTTTGAAGAGCTTAGCTTAACTCTTTAATAAATTGAAGTGGGTGGATCCAGGCAAGCAAGAAGGAACCCATCTTTAAATTTAAGAGGCAAACGTAACCGTGGAGTCTACCCCAGTTTTATTCCCTCACAATAATAGAATGGATATAAAGTATTAGCAACCATTTTTCGTCAGCAGGACTTCAGAAGCAGTACTGCTTCTATATTATGCTCTAAAAAAATTGTAGAAAAATGCAATAAGGCTGCAATAAAACAACTATCAAATCTATATGCACTCTAATTAAAATGCCAGCCATCATTAAAAGAAATGGTGAGTATAGGGTGTTACCACAAGGAAAAAGCCAATAACCACATTCCAAGCAGCAATGGGAATTGAACTGATCTGTTATCTGAATTTGGGAGGCTTGTTCCTTGTCTACCTGCTATTGCTGCAGGTTGCTGAAAAAAAAAATTTGAATCAGTATCAAAAGATAAAATCTTTAAAAAGTAAGAACTTGATATAATAAATACATACACCGGCAACAAGAACCATTCTTTATACCTTAACAAAGAAATCAAAAATGAATTTCGGGGAATCCGCAACCATATTTAGGGAAGGATTATAAATAAAAAATGGACCAGTGTATGTCAAGTCAAGTTAGATTATGGTACCAAAAATCTAACTTAAGTTTTATACACTTGTTGATATTTACAAATTTTGCATATAAGAAAATCATAAGCCAAAAGAGTGAATTACACACAGGTTTGTTTACTTCTTGCATTTGTATATCTATCTTTGAATTTGGGGACATTTTTGACAGGGAAATTTCAAGAAAAGTAAAAAACTCATATAACAATGCATTCATTTCTTGAATTCTTCACAGATATAGCTATGCACCATATAACAGTATTGAAGAAATACCTGCTAATATCCCAAACAAGAATCTTCCTGCCAGAACTTGAAGCTAAAAAAGTCTCATGCTTCTGATTCCACCTAACAAGGACAACCTCCTCACTGTCACAAGGTTCAGAAAGATGGAATTGAGCAAAGTACCCTTGTTATACCATTAACAGAAAACACTACAAATTAAATAGCAAGAAAAAGACAACATCAATGCATACATAGATGAGTAGAGACCTGTACACCCATCATATCAGGTACTAACTTTTCAATAATTTATTTAAGTAACCCATTTCAGCCAACCAAACCTTAAACATCCAACAAATAAACCTCTCACAGTGCAGATTCATGGGGAAGAGGCAGAGGGAAACTCTCAAAAGATTCGACACTCAAAGATGTACTAATTAAGGTTGTGCTTTGTGTTTGGTAAGGTGTAGAAGAGGGGTAGGGGAGACAAGAAAAAGGGATGAACTGGATAAACTTATTCAATTTGGTTTAATTTCTTTCATACAGATAATCCGTAAAATATATATATATATATATATATATATATATATATATATATATATATATATATATATATATATATATATATATATAGAGAGAGAGAGAGAGAGAGAGAGAGAGAGAACCGGTACACGTACAAGTCCGTATAGCTTCATGCTCCACCGGCGGCGAGCTTGGGCGGCAGCGGCGACAAGCTTGGGCGGTAGCGGAGGGGACGTCGAACGGCGAGCAGCGACAGTGCGGCGATGGACGACGGGATGACGATGGACGGCGGGGACGATGGAGAGGTGATGGACGGCGTCGACGAAGGATGAAGATGGACGGCGTCGACGAAGGATGAAGATGGACGACGGTGCGATCTGATGGAGATGATGCGGTGCTAGGGCTTTTAGGATAAAAATAATAAATCGCGTTCAAAGTGACACTTTGGACATGTGTTAGGAATGGGCTTCAATTATTCGCGTCCAAAGTATTGCGCTTTGGACGCGAATAATAGAGAGTTTTTCACATAGGCGTCGAAAGTATAGAGCTTTGGACGCCAATACTGTTTAAAAAAAAATAAAATTATATAGTGACATTTTAATTATAAAAATGCCACTGCACTACATTTTAGGCGTCCAAAGTTTTCACTTTGGATGCGAATTAGTTGATTTTATTGATGTTTTTTATACTAGTGATTATAGCAAGGAAAATAGGTTTTGTTGAGACATGGGTTACCTCTTATGGGAATTCATTAAATTCCTTGGCTATGAAGGGTCTTTCTTTAAGATTTTTTTCTTTCTTGATTTTTCCTATGGGAATTCTTGGGAGTTCTTGTGTGGTGAAAGTTTTATTGTGGTGTGGGTTCTAGGTGTCTCCTATGCCCCTATTTATATAGCTAAGAGTCCTAATTAGTGTCTAAATGGTATGGGCTTGCCAATTCTATTCATTATAGGACTAAGGGGTTGGTTTTAGGGATAAGGGTCCATGGACTATGGTGGCTCCCTTTTAGCTAATTAATGGATTTTAATTCCCTTTTAGGGTAAGTAATTAATTAATTAGTTTGGTTTAGGGGTCGTAACACGGGGCGTTACACTCTCCCCCCTTACAAGAGGCTTCGTCCCCGAAGTCGGTGCGTGGATCCATTCTTTCACCCCTGGACGTCACGTATTTTGGCCTCCTGATTAAAAAATGTGGCTCCACGTGATGTCTTTGCTGGGGTAGACTGGATTTCTGGTGAGGTGGTGGTTGGAAAGTTTGGGTCTACCTTGGTTTCCTGCTCCTGAGCTGGATGCCCCGCAGTGCCAAATATGGTCTCAATTGCTGCCACCCTCTGGTCTAGTGCGCGTGTTGCGTGGATTAGGGATGAGAACCCTTCGTCCATGATTTGGTTCTGCCGGGTGAGCTGCGCGAGGATGTGCTCGTTGATGGACTCTTCATTTCAGCCCCTTGGGTTTCCCTTTGCCTGTGCGGGCGCCGGTGGATTAGGTTCGCTATCCTCATCTTGTTCCTCATTTCCCTCCAGTCCCCCACATTCTTGCATTGCCCGTTTAAGCTTTTTGTTGGAGATATCCAGTCGATCAACCAATTCCCTTCGTTCCTCCTCGGGTTTAAGGCAAACCTCCTCGAGGGTGATGTATTGTCCCCCTTCGGTGTAGTAGATGTCATTGCGGCGGAGGTTCTGGGCATTGAAAACCATGCCGCTTGCGGGTTTGACCTCTGTGTGGCTCAGGTCTACTCCCTTTTTCTCCATGATCCAACTTAGGATCATTCCGTAGGGCAGGCTAAGTCGGTTGCTTCCCTTGCAAAATTCCATGTGTTTTAGCATAAGGGCCGGTAGGTTGAACTTGATCTTGTGTTTTAGAAAGTAGGAAAAGGTTCACTCTAGGCTTCCCACATCCTTACTCTTGTTGTTTGTAGGCAACAAGCTATCCGTCACAATCATGATCAGTATCTTTTATTCGGTGGTTAGCCATTTCCTGTTTGGCCGGGTGGCCGAGGTGAAGCCTTCTTCCTTCCCGAGTAGGTACCCGAGATAATCCTTATATCTCGTGTCTTGGGTACCTGTAACACCCCCAAATTTTGAAACTTTTAAAACTTATATAATAAAGGTAATTCCTCATTAAATCCCCAAAATCCAGCATAAAAGTATGGGGTGCTATGCCACACCTGAGCTAGAGAACTCAGGTGCACAGGCAAACTAACTAAAATCCTCAATGATGTCAATACATAAGCATGACACGCAGGCCGAAAGGGAAACTAACTATTCTACGCTCCAGATCTCTAGCGCGCTCTAGTGCCTACTCATCTGTGCCTGAAAGCCAAATATATCTATTCAGCGAGAGATGCTGGTAACCCACTCCAACGCGTTGAAATACAATATAGGTATATATATATATATAGTTATAGATATAGGAAAACCATTTTGAAGCAAGAAGATATATACTTAGGAGACTCTAGCTTTTAAAACCGGGAATAGACTCAACAAGTAGGGATAAGCACATCAAACAGTAATAAACAGTTAAGTAGAGATAACATCATAAGGAATACGCATCTAAGGTCACAGATTACTTTTCAATTCAAACATATCATCATTCATTCATCATTCATATCACATAATCATTGATGGCGCCACGGGACCAATCGCATGCCCCGAACATGAGGGTTAATGCTTATAGCATTAACACGGCCCCGTAGCACCCTACCTCAGTACCGTGGTATGAGGGGAGTTGATCGCAACCAACCCTACGAGGACCGCTGATGAACTCAACGTCGGACCACGATCAGGCTCACCGCTGACGCACCCAGTCGGTGGACCGCGATCCCCTTTACAAGGGGGGACTTACGACCCTACACACCGTTGATGCGCACAGTCGGTGGACCATAGCGGATCAAGCCCGACACACCGCTGAGCTATACTCAGTCGGTGGGCGAAGATCCTGGGAGACTATGGCCCTACACACCGTTGTCCCATCACTCAGTGGATCGCAGCCAGCTGTAGCCCTACACACCGCCTGATTACTCATGTCGGTGGACTACAGCCTTCCTCGATTTATTGGCCCTACACATCGCCTGGCGCGTTCAGGTCGGTGGGTCATAGCACCGAGGCCCATAATTGGATCGCAGCCCAAGAAGTGTATCAATTTGACCTTAGCCACTTCCGAGCCTTAGCTCAGGAACAATCCATTTGGCCTTCAGCCACTTCCAAACCTTTAGTCCAGGAAAAATCCATTCGGTCTTC